TCTTGTTTAGAGTTACCCCAAGATATTTCATATTATTTGAGGCTATTGTGAAAGGTACTGTTTCCCTGATTTCTTTCTTGGTCCATTTGTCACTTATATAGGACGGCTGCTGATTTTATGAGTTAATTTTGTATCCAGCTACTTTGCTGAAAGTGTTTATCAGCTATAGGAGTTTCCTGGTGGAATTTTTCGGTTCACTTATGTGTACTATTATATCATCTACAAATAAGGATACTTTGACTTTTTCCTTTCCAGGGTCCCCTTGATCACTTTCAGTTGTCTCATTGAAGAGGTACGGTGTAGCATGAATCTTAAAAGGTCTTATTAATAAAATCAAACCTGAGGTCAGTTATTGGGTGAATGCTGGAAGACCAGAGAAGCAGAACAAGCCACAGTCTCACCTCACCAATTCCTCAGCTTGATCCTGTTTCCTCAGACTGGAAGCTTCTGTGTCCTCATCCAAATGGATCTCAGCTGAACTGCTGCTCAAAAGCCTAAAAGCTTAACCAAGCTAGTTCCTGGTTTTCACGCCTTTTATACCTTTCTGCTTCCTGTCATCATTTCCTGGGATTAAAGGCGTGTGTCAACATGCCTGGCTGTTTCCAGTGTGGCTTTGAACTCACAGAGATCTCTGCCTCCAGAATGCTAGGATTAAAGGTGTGTGTACCACCATTTTCTGGCCTCTATGTCGATCTAGCGGCTGTTCTGTTCTCTGACCTCAGATAAGTTTATTAAGGTGCACAATATTTGGGGAACACAATATCACCACAGTACAGAGAAAGTGGACAACCTTGTCTTGGTTGGTTTCTGTGTGTTACCCAGTCTGTTGTTGAACTCACTGTGTAGCTCAGGCTGGCTCCAAGTTCTACCAAACCTGTGCCCTCCCACCCCCATCATCCCTCTTGAGTTTTTTCTCCATATATTGTCAGTTTTGTCTTTTCTGGAATTTCATAATAAATGACAATGTGAAGTTCCCTCAGTATTATATGAAGTTCCCATCATCTGCTTGTAACTTTTTTGTGATTCACCTTGTGAATGTATCGCTAACTCCTACCTTATTACTGCTCTGGTGTGTTTCACATTAAGAATCCCTGGGTGGTTAGCAGTTTTTCCATTGGTGGGCACTTTCTCTGTTTAGTATAAATAAGAAGGAAGATCATTTGAGAAAGCCCAGCAGAGCCCTGGGGCATGGAGGACAGAGAACACTAAACAGAAACTGTGTTGTTTAAACAGGAAGGGCCAAGGAAGCAGGCACTTTGCATGAACAGGAACACTAGAACAGGAAGCGCAGAATGTCCTTGGACTGTGGAGATAGCATTTGATAGATGCATAAGTAAGCCTGTGTCTTAGCCAGGGAAGGAGGAGGTGAGAAAGAGGTGAATCTGGAGGCTGTGCAGGTGGGTTCTGTTGAGGTTTGTAGTGGAAAACCAAAGATGTCCTTGAGCTGGGAGTCCTTGCTCACATTTTCAATTTGTGGGAACGTTGGCAACATTAGGAAGGAGTAAATCTATAAAGGGACAGAGACTGGAGGGAAGTAGAAAGGCTGAGATTGGTCAACCAGGACCCAGGGCAAAGCTGTCTGTGCCCGAGGTGACAGCCTGTGGGGAGAGAGTCATCAGGAGTTTTTGAATAGGACTCGGGGTCTTTTTTGCTTTGCTCACATGGCTGCAATACAGTCAAGATTTGTAAGTTTGACTTCATAAATATAAACATTTTGTGTATGGCAGCTCCTAAGAGAATTTGGTAATCGAGGGGCTACTGGATGAGCAGGGACACTGAAGAATGAAAAAAACCTATCTTATCTCCAAGCTGGCAGCCTGGAGAAAGGATATTCTCTCAAATGAGACATTGTTACATGGCCAAGATGGCTTTTTCCTTATGTTATTGGACCAATAATGTGTTTCTGAATCATGTTTAAGTACACACTCTCCTCTCTTTAATACTCTCTTGCATTTGAGTATTAAATGAGATTATATAGTGACAATTGGTCACTTGTTTGTGGTACTACTTTTAAAGATGTGTGTGTGTGTGTGTGTGTGTGTGTGCGCGCGCGCGGTTGCTTTGCTGTATTCTGCAGTTAGAAATGACTTGGTAATGAATGATTACATACATTTTTTTGCATTTTCTATTTTTGCATTGTTGGATGTTTCTCTTCTGAACTCTTAGAAGCAGGCTTTTTGTCTTAAGGGGTATCCAAATGTTGTTTTGTTAGGTGTCCCCATCTCCCTGGCAGAAGGCTGTGTTCTCATTGTCATGCACCAAAGTGCCCATCCCCATCTTCCCACAGAGCAGATGACGAGTGTGTGGATATTTCTGCTCATCTAGTGGTGAGAGCACGTCTCAGCATTGTGCTCTGGCGTCACGGACATGTTTAGGGAGTACCTGCATATGTGTGTAGTACAGCTTCCTCCTTTGAGTAATTCATATATTAGGAGCATGACCCTTTGTCTGTGGTATATGTGGTCAGTATTTTATGCTGCTTTATCATTTTTCTTTTTTGCTTTGCTCACACAACTGCCATACACAAAATTTTTATATTCATGAAGTCAAATTTATAAACCTGACTGTATGTGGGTGGCAAATCATACAAGGAAAGCATCTTCCATACCTAGGCTGTCGAAATTTGCCAGGTATTTCTTTTAGTACTTCTGTCCTTACGTTTTCACACTTTAGTATTTGTCTGTCAGGCACTTATGTGAACAGTGTGAAGAATGCCTCCCATGTGTCCTTTCCCACTTGTATTAACAGCAATTTGAGAAAGTCCATCTTGCTGATATAATTTGTGTCCACTCACACACATAAAATAACACACACACACAAGCCTGGTGGTAGGCTGAGCATGATTCCAGCACTCAGAAGGGTGAGGTACAGGGAATCAGAGTGCAAGGCCATCTACACATTAAGAGACTGTCTCAGAAAACAAAGAGATAATACCTTAGAGTCATTTGTTGTTGTTGTTTTAAAGATTAGATAGTTTCAGAAAATTTAGGCAATTCAGAAACTTATGTTACTAAACCATGTTGCACGAATCCTAATTGGTCTTATAATAAAACCCAGAGCCAGGTATTGGAGTAAATGCTGAAAGATCAGAAGAAACAAGCTACAGCCACTTCTCACTTCACCAACTCCTCAGCCGAAAGGGATCCTGATCCACAGATCCTCAGACTGAATGCCCAAGTCCTCAGCCGAAAAGGATCCTCCCGCCTTACATTCCTTTCTCTGCCCAGCCACATCACTTCCTGTTTCAACCTTCCTAGTGCTGGGATTAAAGGTGTGTGCCACCATTGCCTGGCCTCTATGTTTAATCTAGTGGCTGGCTCTGTCCTCTGCTCTTCAGGCAAATTTTATTTGTTAGAGTACAAACAAAATATCGCCACAGGATCACCCCATGCTGCAAAGGAAGGAGACCTGGACATTTTCTCTGGGCTCTGAGTTCTGGGGTCTGTGGCCTCTAGGACATAATGTTTAACAAAAATTTAGCTGATCAATTAAAAGCACACACCTTTAATCCCAGTACTTGGGGCAGAGGCAGAACTCAGATCTCTGAGTTCGAGGCCAGCTTGGTCTACAGAGCGAGTTCCAAGACAGCCAGAGCTACACAGAGAAACCCTATCAAAAAGGAAAAAAAAATCATAAAACACAAAGTCCAGAAACAAACCCAAGTACTCACAGACATCTAGAGTCTGATAGAGGCTACGTCAGCAGCATAAGGGTACGGGTTATTAGCTTTTTCCTTCTGTCAGGAGCCTGGGGATGGAGCTCCAGCTGGCAGGCCTTGTGGCAGGCACCATTGCCTGCTGTGCCCTTTCCCTGCCACTGTTGCCAGTTTTAAAGCCATGAACAGCATGAAGTTTTAACAGTGATCTCCTTCCCACAGATGATGCTATGGGCATCTTCCTTTTTCTTCACAGACATTCAGCTGTATTTAGCTAGGCATGGTGGCACATGCTCGCACTTCTGGCACTCGAGAGGTTGAGGCAAGAGGATGATCATGAGTTCAAGGCCAGCCTGGGCTAGAGTAAGACACTGCCTGAAAACAACAAAACGTTAAGAACAAGAACAAACCATCCCTGTAGTAGAGGTGAAGCAGGAGGCCAGCCATCAGAGCAGGGGCTGGCGTGACCCCTCCTCACACGGGGGGGGGGGGGCTGTCTTGAGGGCTGTGAAATGCACAAGAGATGGGAGGACCATGGAGGGACAGAATCGGCCAGAGTTTTGACTTGAGTACCTGTTGGTGACACTTCCTAGCTAATAGGAATGAGGTCAGCTCTCTTCTCTCTCTGCTCACCCTGCTTTCTCTGCTTGAAGGCTTCCCTTAAATGGAATGCTTTGGTTTTTTTTTTTTTAATGCTTTTCATCATTTAAAAAAATCTATTTACAAGACCTATTTCAAGGGGATAGGACTTGTTGGCCATATGGTCTAGTTTTCATGAAGTTTTATTTCAAGGAATGTATTTTCTTGAGGAAAAATCAGACCTATAATCTAGTTTAAGTCAATATGTCAGATCCTATAAAGCCTTAAAAACAAACCCAGGTTTCATTGTAAGCTTAACAGATTAGCTTTTTAGAAGAGAAGAGAATTTCACAGAGGCGGACTGTGTTCTGTAGCTATTCACGTTTTGAACGTCCACCAGCAGCCGGATCAACGTCCTTCTGCCCTGCTCTGCATCACCAGCAGGTTCTGAAGGCGCTCTGCTCTCTCTGGTTCAGTGCCATCGAAGTCCTGACTCGGAGCGGCTCTCCTCCTCACTCCTTCGCTGTAGCTTTATCGAGATGCAGCCGGGGTTTTCTATAAAGAGTTGTTAATGCTGAAACAGCTCAGCTCTGCACTGTGTGCACAGCATGCGGTAGAGCCTGCGGCTGACCAGTTTGTCCCAGATGAAGGCTGGGTCTCCATTCAGATGCTGCCCACCAGTGACATGTTCATAGGACTTTTACCATTCGTTGGTCCCTCTGCCTGCTCCTAACAACACTCATGTTGTTCACCTTGTATATTGCAGCTTCACAGCAACTGGCATGATTGGAAAGAGAAATCTGAGTCCTGACCCAGGGGAATCTGGCTCGGAAGACAGAGAATTAGAGGGGATCTCTGACTCTGAGCTTGAACAGATAGATTCCTGTGCAGACCCCCTCCCAGAGGGACGGAAAAAGGCCAAGAAGTTAAAAAGAATGAAGAAAGAGCTTTCCTTGGCAGGTTGGTATTGGTCTGACTAACTCTGATCATGGACTGCTTCATGCTTCAGGAGGCTCATATTTTGGGAGCAAAATGATAGCAGGGCTTCACTTGAGGGCAGACCCCCTGCGCTAATCCCCGGAGCTCTGGGCGTGATGAACAGCAGCTCTTTCATTGCGGTGACAATCACTTGGCACAGCAACGAGGGAGGAAGGGCGCCTGGTTTCCGGGGCCTTCAGTTCAGCACAGTGGCCGCTGTGCCTCTGTCTGTGTGGGTAGAGCAGGGGGCAGCCGCTCAGCAGGCCATGCTTGTTCTGGGGACGGCAGGTAGGAAGTGGAGGGAGCCAGACCAGAGCCAGGGCGGGTTTAACCTTCAAAGACCTGATTCCACTAGCCAGACCCCACCCTCTAAAGGCTCCACAGCCTTCAAAGTAGCACCTCCTGCTGGGGCTGCATGTTCAAATACGAGCCTTTAGGAGACAAGCAATGATGTATTCTAATCGGAGAGGTTGTAACAAGCCCTGGTTCTAGCACACGAAGCCTGCTGAGGTCTCTTTGTGAGAGTGGTCAGGCCATTTTCATAACTCCCCTCTCCACTATATTATCAAGGTATTGCATGTATATTTCTTGTAGCCTCAGTGTCTAGGGCATGCATTTAGACTTATACAGAAGCAACTCCTTGTGTTCAATTTCAGAAGACTTGACACTGTTCCCAGAGACACTCTGGCATCCTGATTTTCTTCACAAACAGAATTATAAGAAGACAAGGAAATGAGAAATTAGCAAGTGTTCAGAGCCTAGTGTGTGAGACTCCATAGTGGGAGCCTTATTTCACTTGATTCTTACGTTTTACAAAAGCCTTGAAAGAGGGAACCATGGACCCAGGCTCCAAGCTCTGAGAACTTAGGGAGTGTGAGAAGTAGAGCCAGGGGCCAGGCCTGCCCGACCCGGCTGTGCCTTCTCCACTTCACACAGGCCTCCAGCAGCCAGTGCTCCCCATGTGCTGGGACATGCGGGACAGGTCTGAGTGCTGATTTCCGTCCCTAAATCCATTACTGTCTGCTTTATGGCTAGGAACACAGAGGCTTCTGAGAGTCTGCCCAAGGTCCTACACTCCTTAAATATGCCCTGCCGGGAAGCTAGCTGGTACTTCACCCAGGTCCTGCTTGTGTGCTCAAGATGAGAAGACACTGGACTAGATACAGTTCTTTTTCCTTGTGTCACTTGGGGACAGTGGCCCTGGTTGACAATCAAGAGTGAGATCAGAGCAGTGCTGGGCAGCAGGCTTGACGGTGCCCCAGTCAGGGTCAGAGCCTTTTCCACTCTGCGTGTGGCCTAATCTGTAAAGAGCTTGCTGGATTTCATTGAAATTAACAAAAATCGCACCAGCAGGCAAGCATACGCCTAAACATTGTCTACGTGTGCTGCAGCTTCATTTTAACAGACTGAAGTCCTGTTGCAGCTCTTTATACCATCTCTCCAGACATCACCATCACATTCTCTAAAAAGGCCAGGCTTGGCAGTGCATGCCTAGAATCACAGCATTTGGAAGGCTGAGGCTGAAGGATTCCCATGACTTTAAGGCCAGTCTGGTCTGTAGAGGGAGTCTGAAGTGGCCAGTCTGGTCTGTACAGGGAGTCTGAAGTGGCCAGTCTGGTCTGTACAGGGAGTCTGGGGCCAGTCTGGGCTACAGAGTGAGGCCAGTCTCTTTAAAATTAACACATAACTATAGGATACATTAATAGATTAATTTCTTCTGTAGTTTTCATCATTTTAAGTGAAAATGATACATCGGTTATTTAGGATTTTGAGTGGGATTTTAGTCCTGCTGGTGGGGCTGTGTGGAGCGTTAGGGACAGTGTGGCCCAGTGTCTGCCTGAGAGCTTGAGCACTCAGCTTTGTGAGTCTCAGCCTGTGTCCTGCACCAAGGTTGATAACTAAAAGGTAGGCCAGCCTGGGGGATTTTCTGTTTTCCAAAGAGTGTGTGGAAGAAGCAGTGTGTGATGTCCCACAGATGTCACACAGAATGTTGTCAGTTGTTTACCCTAGATATACTAGGAGGTAAACCCCAGATGCCTTCACATGTGTCAGAATACCTTAAATAGCTGGAGAAATAGCCATTTGCTGGGTTTTTGTTGTGCCACGGTGCATTAGGATGTATCTGCCCTCACAACCTCTTTTGGCGTCTTGCCAGGTTCTGTCACCACACAGTAAGGCACAGAGGCTGTCATGATAGAGAGAAGACAGGTTAGTGGATTCACTCTTGAGTGGTCAGAGCCCAGAGCCTCGGCTCTGCCTGTTTCCCTGTCCGCCTCAGTGACAGGCCTGGATGCTTTCCATTATGAACATGCTTTTCCTCAGCTAGTCCACACTCAAGCCAGACTAGATGCTGTGATTCACATACCAGTCCAGCTGTGTTGCCACTGTCACACACACACACATGCACACACACACACGCATGCACGCACGCATGCACGCACTGTCTCAAATGGCAGAAGTGGAAGAATGTCAGACCTACAGGAAACCTGACTCTAACTGACCCAGAGGAGGACTCAGCCTACACCACTGCCTCTGCAAAACCCATGGTTGTTGCTGCTGTCCTAGGACCCGTGGTCCTCACTGGCCTGCTACCCCTGGCATTTCACCTGCAGGTACTGGCTGCTCCCCTCTCATGGGAACTCAGGTTGTTGCTGCTCTAGTGAGGAGCTTAGTGCTTGCTTTAAACTCACTCAGGCCCTCCGTAGATTTACCTTTCTGTGTCTGTTCTTTCTATCATGGGGACATCGACGGCTCCCTGGTGGCTTTTATGAAGTATGTGAATTAAATGCCCAGCTTGGTTTCCAGCAGGGTATGCTACATGCACATGTACATGAAGTGCTTACACCCAAGCGCCCGTCTGTGCAACAGGCCGCCACAGCAGGCCAGGTTTGCCACCTCCCTAAAGGATCCTGTGGCTTCCCCTTCGTGTGCTGGGTCTGTCCCCAAGTCCAGGACCTACCTGTGCACCAGTCCTTCCCTGCTTGTCTGTGGTTGGGCACAGGGGGCTGTCCTTGCTAGCCAACAGTGTTCCCTAGTGACTGTCCCTGTCCTTAATCTGCTTCTCCTTCCCCCAGGAACCGTCGCAGATGGCCCTGCCGTGCTTTTTGAAGTCCCTGACACGTGGTAACAGAGACCAGGGTGGAGCACCCTGAGCATGCTGCTGCTGAGAGAGAGCTAGCCCAGCCTGTTTGGAAGCCATACTGTATTCACTTAATCAAATGAGGCATGGGAGGGCTTTGGAACCAAGTTTGTCTCCTGCAAAAGCTACTTTTCCCTTTTTTGGCTGTCTCTATTTTCCCTTTTCATCTAAACTGACGGTTGGCGTACATCATAGTTGAGGGCTGTTGCAGGTGTGTGTGTGTTATTAACTAATTACTTCCTGCTCCTGGAAAACCTCTCCTGCCCTCATGAGTGGTGGCAAGTCCACCCAGGGAGGAAGTCCGCTGTGAACCGTGCCGGGTGAGCCAGCCTCCAGGGTGTGCTGGACACATTTGTGCTGAGCTCGGCCCTGCTTGCAGATGTGCTGGGACACCCTCCATTCAGCCTGTGGTGTCCTCACAGGTCACGGTCACTGCCTGCTTCCCACCATCACTGCCTAGGAACAGCACTCAGGCTTGTCTTTTCAGTGGAGATCTTCCTGTGCTGACCCAGGGTCATCTCAGCAGATACCTGGGCTTTGAGAGCACGTTATTTCAAGTTCCTTTCCCTCAGAGTCTCGCATGGATGGTATGAGAGTGAGAAGCTGGATTTTCTGTTCCTGTGCACAGTGCCAGATTCATGGTGTGTGTGTGTGTGTGTGTGTGTGTGTGTGTGTGTGTGTGTGTGTGTGTGAGAGAGAGAGAGAGAGAGAGAGAGAGAGAGAGACAGAGAGAGAGAGAGAGACAGAGAGAGACAGAGAGAGAGACAGAGAGAGACAGAGAGAGAGAGAGAGACCGTGGCAGAACTGCAGCATGCTCAAGCCTTCACTCAGACAGGTTCCACAGTGGCAAAGCACCATGCGCTCCTGCAGGACACTCCACAGCAGACACTTCTGGATATGTCATGCTTTTGTATCATGAAAATAAAAGTGAAAAATGAATTTCAACAAGATGGAATTAAAGAAAATTTCATAGAAACTCGCCTTTAACTCTTCTTTGGAGAGATTGCCGCCCTTGCCCTCCAGCGGTTCCTTGTCTCAAGCTCCCATGGTGGAGTTGCACACCTCCCTGTGTGGAAGACTTTCCCCCACTCCCAACCCTTCCCTCTCCCCCAGCTCAGTCTGTGGCTCCACTAAGTGGAAAGTGGAGACAGGGAGGGAGCCAGAGCCATGGGCTCTGCCAAGCCTTTAGACTTAAAGGCTTGAGATTAGGGGGCCCTTTGATTTTGGTTTGGTTTGAAGTGTAGGAATGGGGACCCAGGGCTTCACTTTGCACTAGTCCAGCACCGTATCACTGAGCTACATCCCCATCTGACACTAATTTTTAAAAAGGAAGAGAGACTGGAGATGTAGTTCAGTGCTAGAGTGCTTTTGCCTGGCGTACTTGAGGCCTTAGGTTCAGGCCTCCATATGGGGAGGGAAAATACATGATTTGTGAGGCTGAATAGACAGCTCAGTGGTTAACACTGCTCTTACCGCTCTACCAGAGGATCAGAATTCAGATCCCAGCACCCATGGCCAGGCAGCTGTCAGACACCTGTGACTCCAGCTGCAGGTGATGCAGTGCCTCCTTCTGGCCTTTATGGGCACTGACACACATGTGCACATACATGCATGTATAAATAAATCTTTAAAAATTACAAAAAAGGAAAAGGTGAAGCACAAAACACTGAGCTGGCACATGTATGTACATGCACAAGGCCTACTGTGTATGCTTGTGTGGTTGTGACCACCCTCTGGTCCTGTATGAAAGGAAGTCTTACTGAGAGGGAGACAGCTTCCTTATCCAAAGCTGATGACTGTCTGCGTTGTACCCAAGACTCACTCAGGAATATATCCAGCACTCATGGCTGCAAAAGCTCTGCCCATATGCACAGACCCTGCCATTGCTCCAGGAAGCAGTTGGGCGGGGTGAGATGTGCTTTCTAGACAGAACTTGGGCGACTGTGCTTGCACCCCAGTTCCAGCTGTGTGTTCCTGGGTACATTTTTGCCCTCTGAGCCTCAGCCTTCTCTTTCATAAAATCAAGATAATAAAACTTACCTCCAAAGTTGTTGTGGAATAAATGAACTAAAATACCAAACGAGGCCAGGCGGTGGTGGCGCACGCCTTTAATCCCAGCACTCGGGAGGCAGAGGCAGGTGGATCTCTGTGAGTTCGAGGCCAGCCTGGGCTACAGAGCGAGTTCCAGGACAGGCTCCAGAGCTACACGGAGAAACCCTCTCAAAAAACCAAAATAAAATAAAATACCAAACGTTCCCAGGTACACAGGAGATTGTAGTGGTTGTAGGCTGTGTCTCTGTCCCTGGAGCTGACAGAGACACAGTTGCTGAGATGTTAAGTTACCCTCTCCCCTCACCTGCCTGAGCTGCCCTCCAGGCCATGTTGATACCTCCTTAAAACCTCAGAGCACGTTTCTGGCTTCCTCATGCCACAGCCCAGAGGCTTAGTGGGTGTGGGCTGTGGCTGGACGCTCGGACAGCTATGGGAGTAGGGGATTGTGTGGCTCTGCGTGTGGTCTGTAGTCCTTGTAGGGGACTGTGTGGCTCTGCGTGTGGTTCTGTAGTCCTTGTAGGGTTGTGTGGCTCTGTGTGTGGTTCTGTAGTCCTTGTAGGACTGTGTGGCTCTGCGTGTGGTCTGTAGTCCTTGGACTGGCAGGCTGCAGTGCAAATGCAGCACAGTATGTCTGAGCCTCTTCGCAGCTCTGTGTGCGTTCATTGTCCCCACTAACATCGTGGGAAAATGAACGAAGTCGTGTTCGGGAAGCTCCATTTACTCACCACTTGAACTGTTTATGGTTGCCATCTTAGTCTGTCTTACTTCCATTTGTCCATCCATCTGCCTACCCACCCATTCTTCCATCACCCACACCCAGCCATTCAGCCATCCAGTCACCTTGGTTTCCGATGAATTTCTCAGTTGTGAACATTCATGTACAGGGATTTGGGGGTCACCAGATGACAGAGGTCAAATTGGGGTCCCCTTTGATGTTCTTAGTCTCATAAAAGAATTTAAGAATGGACTCAACAGGTGATCAAGGAGAATTTTATTAGACTAAAACACAAAAGTCCCAGGGCAGGCCAGCTGTTGCAGCAGCTGTCCAGCAGGAGAATAAAGAGGATCGAGCCTCATGAGGCCGGACATGTGGCTGACAAGGAGCCGCATGGCGGGAGGGCAAGGGAGAGAGGAGTCCAGAGTGCGGGCAGGAGAAGGCGGCTTGGACGTCTGCCTGCAGCCGCGGGCCCAGCCGGACCTTGCAGTGTGAGGGGATTCTGTCAGGAACACGGTTCTGCCGTGTGAGCATGGCCAGGGAGCCGCCCGGAGAGGCTCACGGCGGCCATCAGCCTGGCAATGGGGATGCCACTCTTGCTACTCTGCTGAACCACCTCACCCCTACATACCACCACCTCACCCCTACATACCACCACCTCACCCCTACATACCACCTCCTCACCCCTACATACCACCACCTCACCCTGCATACCACCACCTCACCCCTACATACTCACCACCTCACCCCTACATACCCACCACCTCACCCTGCATACCACCACCACACCCCTACATACTACCACCCCACCCTACATACCCACCACCTCACCCCTACATACTTACCACCTCACCCCTACATACCACCACCTCACCCCTACATACCCATCACCTCACCCCTACATACCACCACCTCACCCCTACATACCCACCACCTCACCCCTACATACCACCACCTCACCCCTACATACCCATCACCTCACCCTACATACTCACCACCCCACCCTACATACCCACCACCTCACCCCTACATACCACCACCTCACCCCTACATACCACCACCTCACCCCTACATACC